GGATTTTGTATTAAAGTACATTCCTGAAGGTCAAGAGTAAAATTTGACTTTCCCTAGCGAGTTTGTGTTTATTGATGCATATTGTAAGAGGTATGAGCAAAACAGTAAGTAAGCAGTCTTGAAAACTCATTAAGGCATTTAGAGCAAGTATGAAAATGGTAAAGTTCTGAGTGGTGTGGTGATAGTAAATTCTGAGTAGTTTGAGTAAAATCAGAATTGCAGCACTTGGATCAAGAAGTAGACAAAATGCCCCGAAAATACCTCCACCCAGAATGCCCCTGAGCGCTGAGTGATAAAAGGCAGATTCTTTGGTACAGAAAATTTACTATTTTATTCACCCATGGAAAACATCCTGCAGCATTGAACATTTTTTGACCTATCTTGTTTATGACCTTTATCTTCACCAAATTCCTGAATATGTGATATGTTTATGGAAAGCACCAAATCTTTTATTAGATTCTTTAATTTTTCCTTCTCCTTATATGACAGCACCCTCAGGTACATTGTTATTAAAATAATATTTCGAACAGTAATTATTCCGAAATTTGTAGCCACACATTAATAATGATGGGCAGGTAATGGGTATATGTATCACCATTTGCAAAAATTTATTGAACACCCACTGTGATATATTAGTTGAGGTTCACAGATTTTCTGAAATAGGCAATTCAAGTTAATGAGGGTAAGTGATTCTTATGCAGTAGGACTGTTGATATATATCCGTGGAACAGCATTGCATGTTCTATGCTTATTACATGCCACTTACTCCTTAAGTGCTTTACATACTATTTAATCATCAAAACAACCTTTGTGATAAGTGCTATTATGGCTGTTTTAGAGAGGAAGAAGATGAGTGACAGAGAGGTTTATTAACTTGCTAGAGTCACACAGCAAGAGCATGGCAGAGCTGGGGTTCTAGCCAAGCAATCAACTCCAGAATCTATTCTCAAACCCACTCCACCATCCTGCATACCCTGTGGTCAAAGCAAGAACTGAGTTTCCAATTTACACAATTTAAACTCCTGCTAAATTATAAAAGATTCTATAAGTTAGCTGAGTTTTAAATATAAATACAAACATGTCAGTCACCTTCATTATGCCCTGAGTTCATAGAAGCATTTGATAATATTTCATTTTTTTCTGCAAAAGTACTAGGATCTTTTGAAACTATATGACATCACTGTGTACATTAATTTCTATATACCCACACTACCTGGTGACCCATCAAGAGATAAGATAAGCTTAAATATGCAGACTTTAAGTCCCACACCAAGGGACCAAATCCCGGTTCTACCACTCATTAAATAGATGACTTGGAGCAAGTAACTTGACCTCTCTTAGCCTTGGTTTTCTCATATTTAAAATGAGATGAAAGTAGTATGCGTCTATAGGATTAAGTTAACGTACTAATGTAGATGTGTTTAGTTTAGTGCCTGCCGCATTCTAAGAATCAGTCAAGGTTAGCTGAGGTTGTCAGTGTTCGTATTCCCATCATGTACTCCACCTGAGCTGGCATGGCAAGGACATGGGAATCGCTACAGGGCAGAGTAAGAGGATCCTTTTCAACCAATGCAGTATCCCTCTATCATCTTCAGACTTCATGGGACTTCATCCAGTTTATTTTTGTTCTAATAACTGTCTTCCTCCTTAATCTCATCACACTCTGATTTAAGGAGTGATTTTACTTTGAAGGAATTTACCAGAGAATGTGATTCTAATGAGATCTTCTGGTAAGAAAATCCTATTTCAATGACTGTGATGTGGAGAAACCTATTGTGAGCAATACATAGAATTCAACACTCTAATTCAGGGTGTGAGAGTAGGACTAAGATGACAGTCATAATTAATGATTTGAAAGTGTGCATTTGTACGATGATGTTTCATTGTTACAAAGCAACCATACAAATGTATTTTGATGGTTTGGTAAGGAGGTGGATGCTTCTGTTTTTATTTCTTTTGATCATGGTCAGGTGGCTAGGAGAAACAATAGAGCTTATCATCCGGTTTCCTGAATTTATTTCTCATTATTTTGAAGAAAATACTTTTTTACGGACAAATAGTATTGAGGTTCAGGATAGTCTATCACCTCCTGAGGCTTTGTGTATAGACTGTCAAAGATCTTTTGGAGTTTTTGAGGCTTTGCTTATACTGTAGAATGTGACTTTAGAGTCTTAAGTTCCTTGGTGAATATTAGTTCCTTACTGGTAGAGTATATATTTCTTAAATATATTTACATTAGGATAATATCTAGTTAAGGGAATCATTATCCAAATGATTATCTAAATTACATTATCTAAATTACAAAAGTCAAAAGCATAGACTTATTCTCAGTTTAGTCTCTTCTTCATTGTTCAGTCATTTACCAAGGATGGTTATTTTATTTTATAAATGTACCTTGAAATTGTTCTCTCCCTAGTTCCTTCTGGCCTAGTTTAGTTGAAGATTCAGACATTCATGCATGTAGGAGCTGGATGATTATCATAAATAATAAAAGCAGAATTCCTGAAAAGTGATAGTAAGTGGTAGGACCCTGGCAAACTGGGGACCAGATGCCTTTAATGGAGTATAGCCAGTAACCAGCTAAAGAGGATGTGTGAAACTTTCTCAGTGTGGGAACAAAAAACAGGGAAAAATGGATACAACTCATGGATGGTCAATTTACAACCTTTATTTCACTCTCATCAGTTTTCTTCTGTAGTGTGGCAGACTCCTGACTCTAGCTATATCTGTGTGCAATCCATCCTCTCTACTGGCACCTGGTGATGTTTTCAAGGCTCCAATGATAATTGTGTCACTCTCCATTTTAAAAAAACTCCTGCATCACCACACTGAATGCTGCATAAAATGTGAAGTTCAAATTCTCTATCATGACATATAAGGGGCCCCTCATGGATCTAGCCTCTTCTTACCTTTTCAGGCTCACCACTCACCATATACATAATGCTTAGAAATACAGAATTATATACCTTTGTCCAAGTACACTATGCTATTGATGACCCTGTGCTTGTTCTCTCTAACTGCAATTTTTCCCTCATCTTGTCCAACTGATGGACATCCACCCTTCAAACCATACTTAGGCCTCAGTACCTCTCTGAAGCCTCCCCGCTCATGCATACTTGCTAAGCTATACTACAGATGGTCCTCAAAATACAGCTCTCCTTAAATGCCTTACATGCATCACTGATCCATTCAAGTTTATACTCCATATGTGCCCACTTTACTAATGAGCTTCTGTCCTCCTTTAATGCACAGACCTTCTCTGACTCTGTTCTGTCTTTCTGATATCTAGCACAGTGATTGGCATACAGTATGTGTTCTGTAAGTATGTGTGGATCTGAATATTAATTTGTTGCCAATACTCTTTACATATTCTGTTATGAAGATGGTAAGAAAGAGAATGATGACTGTTTTTTGTGGACACTTCCTACAGGGACAAAATTATTGAACATACTTTACCTCCAAGGCAATAAGTCTATTTTTTTTATCTTTTAAAACAGGCAAGGGCTATTTGTTTTCACTTTATTCTAAAAATTTCCAATTTGGCGTAATCAAAGACAAAGCACTGTTTAGGAAAGAGTGAAAGAACCCCATAAATCCCAGTTGTGGGTTGATATCAGAAAACACTAATACATATGATGTCACCCAACTGCTGACTGATTGCACCATATCAGGCAGTATCTCCACTGGTTGTGTTTAATGGGCATTTATATAGTGCTTGGCTCATGATGCTGTTTGAAGCAATATTCCCTTTCCACTATACCTGGTAGACGGTTCATAATTTTTGGACCTCTGTGATTTATGTCTCTGTTTACCACAGCTTTTGTTTTGATATCAGAAACCGTTAATCCTTCAAAGTCCTGCAGTTGTAATGTTAACTGCCAGCATCACTGATTTGCAATGGGCATGAGAGCATACTTCAACCATTTTATAACACTTCTGACTTGTTTTTACCACTGAAATCCTCAAATATAGAATTTTCCCTAACTCTTCAACAAAACATATGTTCACTCAAACAAAGGATGTTCATTCTAATCTGGGCCTCTGGGTTCATTTCCTTGGTTTTACATCAACCTTTTAGTTAAGGCTAGTGGTTCATGACTCTTGGTTTCTCTATTGATGAAATACAATTAATAATTATTGTTTCTATGGATGATTTTTTATATATATTTTAATATATATGTTGTGTACACATATAACACATATATATACATGTGTATATGTACATATACGTGTAGATGTGTGTGTGTATATTGAGGGAAGAGCCAGTTTCTCTCTTGTTGGTGATCAGCAATGTTTTATTTTTAATTACAGTATATGTTTTATGAAGAAAACATATTAAAGGCTAACTTAAGGGTCATTATAAATAATGTAATTTTACTTGTGGATTCTCATAATGACTACTAATGTCATCAAAGCTATTTTTTAAATTATAGGCTTTTAATGCCCCTAGGGCAAACTTCATTTTTTTGCATAATTAATAAGAATAATATGATTCTTCAGACTTGATAGAACCTATAAAGGTGAATTTGCCTCCATTAAACCTTCATATGAAATACTTCTGAAAAGTATGGAGAGCTGCATTTGTTTGGAGCCGGTGTATGGGGGAAAATGACATGAAACAGAAGTTATTGAGGAGAAAACAATTAAGAATATGTGGGTCAGTCCAAGTACATGTTAGCTTATCTACTAAGACATTTGCATACCTCACTAATGAAAGTGTTTGCAAAAGAATATAAAGTATCTGGGAAAAAATGATCAAACATTTAGCTCATATGCAGGTAGTTCATTCTGCTTTACAGAGCTTTAGTGGGAAAAAGGCCAAAAGCTATTTGTGGTTTGCTTTTTTAATTCCACATTTTCCATAATTTTGAAAATATTCTCAGATTCTGCCATTACTTAGAGAAATCAAGCACTTGCAACTGAACGCTAGGAAATGCCTTTTTTGACAACACAAAAGCATAGGCATTAACTGACTCTCTGGGGAATTTGGTGTTTTTCAGGGAATGATGTACCTGGAAGAAAGACGGCTTGTTCATCGGGATTTGGCAGCCCGTAATGTCTTAGTGAAATCTCCAAACCATGTAAAAATTACGGATTTTGGACTAGCCAGGCTCTTGGAAGGTGATGAAAAAGAGTATAATGCTGATGGAGGAAAGGTGGGTGTCTTTTTGAGAGCAATATTACTTGAAAATATAGTATAATACCCTTTTATCTCCTTATATGTTATAGGAAGAAATCAATAAACCTGAGGTTCAAGAGATTATAAAATCCCAATTCCACCATTTGCCTTCTCTCCCACCCAGGGTTAAAAAAAACATATATATATATATATATATATATATATATATATATATATATATATATACATATATATATATACATATATACACATACATATATATACAATATATAATATATAGGATGTATTACCTACTTCCATTTCTCAAAAGTAGCTAAAATAAGACAATGTGTGTCTGGACCCAAGTTATCTTTATGTCAGTTCCAGTGTTAGAGAGTTGGTGGCTCCCTAGGAACTCTAGAGATTGCACTTTAATCCAGGGCCATAGAAATTGTTTCATTAATCCTAATAATTTAAGACTATTACAGAGAGATCAGAGAGATACAACTTCTTTCTCATAGACTAGAGAGAAGTTTCAATGTAACCAAGGACCATAACTATTGGAAAGTTGGTCATCCTATTTAACGTCCAATCCTCCTACACCAGAAGCAACAGATTCCTCTTACCTGGCTCTATTTTTTTTTTTTTTAGTTTTCATTGTAGCATATGACTTACCAATTTCTTTATTTATTTTAACATCTTTATTGGAGTATAATTGCTTTACAATGGTGTGTTAATTTCTGCTGTATAACAAAGTGAATTAGCTATACGTATACATATATCCCCATATCTCCTCCCTCTTGCATCTCCCTCCCACCCTCCCTATCCCACCCCTCTAGGTGGACACAGAGCCCTGAGCTGATCTCCCTGTGCTATGTGGCTGCTTCTCACTAGCTATCTATTTTACATTTGGTACTGTATATATGTCCATGCCACTCTATCACTTCATCCCATCTTGCCCTTCCCCCCTCCCTCGTGTCCTCAAATCCACTCTCTACTTCTGCATCTTTATTCCTGTTATGCCCCTGGGTTCTTCAGAACCAATTTTTTTTGTTGTTTTTAGATTCCAAATATGTGTCAGCATATGGTATTTGTTTTTCTTTTTCTGACTTACTTCACTCTGTATGACAGTCACTAGGTCCATCCACCTCATGACAAATAACTCAATTTCGTTTCCTTTTATGGCTCAGTAATATTCCATTGTATATATGTGCCACATCTTCTTTATCCATTCATCTGTCTGTGGACACTTAGGGTGCTTCCATGTCCTGGCTATTGTAAATAGAGCTGCAATGAACATTGGGGTACCTGTCTCTTTTTCAATTATGGTTTTCTCAGGCTATATGCCCAGTACTGGGATTCCTGGGTTGTATGGTAGTTCTATTTTTAGTTTTTTAAGGAACCTCACTAGTGTTCTCTATAGTGGCTGTGTCAATTTATATTGCCACCAACAGTGGAAGAGGATTCCCTTTACTCCACAGCCTCTCCAGAATTTCTTGTTTGTAGACTTTTTGATGATGGCCATTCTGACCAGTGTGAGGTGACACCTTATTGTAGTTTTGATTGGCATTTCTCTAATGATTAGTGATGTTGAGCACCCTTTCATGTGTTTGTTGGCAATCTGTATATCTTCTTTGGAGAAATGTCTATTTAGGTCTTCTGCCCATGTTTTGATTGGGTTTTTTGGGTTTTTTTGTTATTGAGCTGCATAAGCTGCTTGTATATTTTGGAGATTAATCCCTTGTCAGTTGCTTCATTTGCAAATATTTTCTCCCATTCTGAGGGTTGTCTTTTCATCTTGGTTATAGTTTCCTTTGCTGTGCAAGAGCTTTTAAGTTTCATTAGGTCCAATTTGTTTATTTTTATTTCTGCTTCTCTAGGAGGTGGGTCAAAACGATCTTGCTGTGATTTCTGTCATAGAGTGTTCTGTCTATATTTTCCTCTAAGAGTTTTATAGTGTCTGTCCTTACATTTAGGTCTTTAATCCATTTTGAGTTTATTTTTGTGTATCTTTTCTCCATTGTATATTTCTTCCTCCTTTATCAAAGATAAGGTGACCATATGTGTGTGGGTTTATCTCTGGGCTTTCTATCCTGTTCCACTGATCTCTATTTCTGTTTTTGCACAAGTACCATACTGTCTTGATTAATGTAGCTTTGTAGTATAGTCTGAAGTAAGGGAGCTTGATTCCTCCAGTTCCGTTTTTCTTTCTCAAGTTTGCTTTGGCTATTCGGGATCTTTGTGTTTCCATACAAATTGTGAAATTTTTTGTTCTAGTTCTGTGAAAAATGCCATTGGTAGTTTGATAGGGATTGCATTGAATCTGTAGATTACTTTAGGTAGTATAGTCATTTTCACAGTGTTGATTCTTCCAATTCAAGAACATGGTATATCTCTCCATCAGTTTGTATCATCTTTAATTTCTTTCATCATTTGTCTTATAGCTTTCTGTATACAGGTCTTTTGTCTCCTTAGGTAGGTTTATTCCTAGGTATTTTATTCTTTTGGTTGCAGTGGAAAATGAGAGTCTTTCCTTAATTTCTCTTCCAGATTTTTCATCATTAGTGTAGAGGAGTGAAAGAGACTTCTCTGCATTAATTTTGTATCCTGCTACTTTACCAAATTCATTGATTAGCTCTAGTAGTCTTTTGGTAGCATCTTTAGGCTTCTCTATGTATAGTATCATGTATAGTATCATCTGAAAACAGTGACAGTTTTACTTCTTCTTTTCCGTTTTGGATTCCCCTTATTTCTTTTTCTTCTCTGCTGTGCCTAAAATTTCTAAAGCTATGTGAATGATAATGGTGAGAGTGGGCAACCTTGTCTTGTTCCTGATCTTAGTGGAAATGGTTTCAGTTTTTCACCATTGAGAATGGTGTTGGCTGTGAGTTGGTCATATATGGCCTTTATTATGTTGAGGTAATTTCCCTCTATCCCTGCTTTCTGTAGGGTTTTTATCATAAATGGGTGTTGAATTTGTTGAAAGCTTTTTCTGTATCTATTCAGAGGATCATATAGTTTTTCTCCTTCAATTTGTTAATATTGTGTATCACATTGATTAATTTGCCTATATTGAAGAACCCTTGCATTCCTGGGATAACCCCCACTTGATGATGGTGTGTGATCCTTTTAATGTGCTGCTGGATTCTGTTTGCCAGTATTTTGTTGAGGATTTTTGCATCTATGTTCATCAGTGATATTGGTCTGTAGTTTCCTTTTTTTGTGACATCTTTGTCTGATTTGGTAGCAGGGTGATAGTAGCCTTGTAGAATGAGTTTTGGATTGTTCCTCCCTTTGCTATATTTTGGAAGAGTTTGAGAAGGATAGGTGTTAGCTCCTCTCTAAATGTTTCATAGAATTCACCTGTGAAGCCATCTGGTCCTGGGCTTTTTTTGTTCGATGTTTTTTTTTTTTTTTGCTGTACGCGGGCCTCTCACTGTTGTGGCCTCTCTCGTTGCAGAGCACAGGCTCCGGACGCGCAGGCTCAGTGGCCATGGCTCACGGGCCCAGCTGCTCCGCAGCATGTGGGATCTTCCCGGACCGGGACACGAACCTGTGTCCCCTGCATTAGCAGGCGGACTCTCAACCACCTGCACCACCAGGGAAGCCCTGTTCGATGATTTTTAATCACAGTTTTAATTTCAGTGCTTCTGAATGGTCTGTTTATATTTTCTATTTCTTCCTGGTTCTGTCTCAGAAAGTTGTGCTTTTCTAAGAATTTGCCCATTTCTTCCAGGTCCTCCATTTTATTGGCATATGGTTGCTTGTAGTAATCTCTCATGACCCTTTATATTTCTGCAGTGTCAGTTGTTACTTCTTGTTTTTCATTTCTAACTCTGTTGATTTGTGTCTTCTCTCTTTTTTTCTTGATGAGTCTGGCTAATGGTTTATCAACTTTGTTTATCTTCTCAAAGAATCAGCTTTTAGTTTTATTGATCTTTACTATCATTTCCTTCATTTCCTTTTCATTTATTTCTGATCTGATCTTTCTGATTTCTTTCCTTTAGCTAACATTGGATTTTGTTTATTCTTCTTTCTCTAATTGCTTTCAGTGTAAGGTTAGGTTGTTTATTTGAGATGTTTCTTGTTTTTTAAGGTAGGATTGTATTGCTATAAACTTTCCGCTTAGAACTGCTTTTGCTGCATCCCATAGGTTTTGGGTCATCATGTTTTCATTGTCATTTGTTTGTAAGTATTTTTTGATTTCCTCTTTGATTTCTTCAGTGATCTCTTGATTATTTTGTAGTGTATTGGTTAGCCTCCATGTGTTTGTATTTTTTACATATTTTTTCCTGTAATTGATATCTAGTCTCATAGCATTGTGGTCAGAAAAGATACTAGATAAAATTTCAATTTTCTTAAATTTACCAAGGCTTGACTTGTGACACAAGATATGATCTATCCTGAAGAATGTTCCATGAACACTTGAGAAGAAAGTATATTCTGTTGTGTTTGGATGGAATGTCCTATAAATATCAATTAAGTCCATCTTATTTAATTTATCATTTAAAGCTCGTGTCTCCTTATTTATTTTCGTTTTGGATGATCAGTCCATTGGTGAAAATGGGGTGTTAAACTCCCCTTCTATGATTGTGTTACTGTTGATTTCCCCTTTTATGGCTGTTAGCATTTACCTTATGTATTGAGGTGCTCCTATGTTGGGTGCATAAATATTTACAGCTGTTATATCTTCTTCTTGGTTTGGTCCCATGATCATTATGTAATGTCCTTCTTTGTCTCTTGTAATAGTTTTTATTTTAAAGTCTATTCTGTTTTATATGAGAATTGCTACTCCAGCTTTCTTATGATTTCCGTTTGTATGGAATTTCTTTTTCCATCCCCTCACTTTCAGTCTGTATGTGTCCCTAGGTCTGAAGTGGTTCTCTTGTAGACAGCATATATATGAGTCTTGTTTTTGTATCCATTCAGCCAGTCTATTTCTTTTGGTTGGAGCATTTAATCCATTCACATTTAAGATAGTTATCGATATGTATGTTCCTATTACCATTTTCTTAGTTGTTTTGGGTTTGTTATTGT